GTTCAGTGCATTTCAAAGTACAGCAACTTGCATTCAGGGCAAAACTAGAAGCAGAAGTAAATGTAGCACCGGCACTTCCTCTGCATTTCTCAGAAGGTTGTTAAGATGTTTGCACTTGATAATAATTTCATCAAGCTCAAAACTCGTAAGCAGCTGTTAGAAACGGATGTGTAAGGCATAGTTCGACGTGAAGAAGAGCAACTGTAGAAATATTTCACATCGTTCTGTGTTTTATACATAAATGATCGACTAACGACTAAACGCTAAGTGGCCTTTTTTTTTAATCTGTAGTTTTTTTCTTGTATCAGGAGAACTAACATTATTTCCATAACACAAATATTAATAAAATAAATAATAATAAAAGATTAAACTACAACAACCTAAACACTAATACGTTGTCTTAGTCAATCGATTGGAACAAATTTTAATCTAATAAACCGTTAATTGACAATTTATTGTTTGCATCCATAGTTTGTTCTACGACACACTGGGACAATTGTACATAGATTAATAAAACTGAAAAGGAGAAGTAAGTTTCCGCCAAAATAATCAGAAATTTTGAAATTGTCAGAACTTTTCTAGGAAAATTTTTGAAATTTCAGAGTTTGAAAAATGTACAATTAGCTGCAGAAAAACTGAGAAATTTTGATGTTAATGTCAGAAATGTTCAAAAGCTGAAAATTCTTGACTTTTGAAATTTAGTTTTTTCTAGAAAAATGTTGATGTTAAACTCAAAATGTGTTTATTTTATTTTATTTTGTTTTGTGGAGGAAATTTACTCCTCCTTTTATTCTATGGGCAGCTTGAGCTCCTTTATGAAGAAAAATAGGGTTAATATTTACATCTCTCACTGTGCAAACGTGGCAGAGAGCTACCTGAAAAGACTTGCAGCTGTAATTGTAGTGAAATTTGTTCCTAAAGTGTAGTGATTCAGCTGATTGCAAACAACCCTGGAATTAACCGTTCAAAGAAAGCAACAAATCCAGGGTGGAGATTTTTCATGCTTTTTTCATTACTCAGTTTCAGAGTTAGTCAGGATGACCTTCCACACACGCCTACTTCTTGTATCTGAAATGTTTATTTTGATGTTTGGATCCCATCAACCCTGTAGTTTTTGGTGAAATGTCACATTTCTCATGTGACTGACTGCTGGAGAGAGCAGGTTGGTATTTACCCCTTTGTTTGTGTTGCTAGGTAACGTCGCCTGGATGCATGTACTCGCAGCTCGAGCCCTGAAGATGAATCCTGAAAAAGTTGCCGGCGAAGCTTTCTTCTGCTACGACGAGTCGCCCTACAAAAGCTACGAGGACTTCAACATGGAGTTGCTGTCCGAGTTCAACTTCCGTAAAGTCTGCATGCCGGGCATCGTCCTCTGTTTCCTGGCCATCCTGAACGACTTTCTGCGCTGGATACTGAGCCCGTTCTACAACTACACGCCGCTGTTGAACCGATACACGCTGGCGGTGGCCAGCACCACCTTCACGGTGCAAACGGACAAAGCACAGAGGTATTTCCAGTACCAGCCCCTTTACGACTGGAGTCAGTGTCTAGCGCGAACGCAGTCGTGGATCAGAACGTTCCCAGCAGACAAGCAAAAGGACAGCTAGCTTCACCTCAGCCACTACAAAGTCTTTTCACACGCTGCTACGTAAAGGAGCGGGATCCAGATCCAGAAGGACTTGTGTTTCTTGAAACACCCTGACCTGCGAAAACCTGCAGGTACATGCAGACGCTGATGAAGAGTGAAAATAAAATGTTAAATCACATCTTAATCACAAGAATACACCATTTCTGGCTTCTTCAGTAGTGTGGTGGTCTATAATTAATATTTTATATGAAAGATTTCTTTCCAACGGACTGCAAAAGATTAAGTCATTTTGGTCTAACTTCTTGTGTAAACATCTTAGTTTTGTCTTATTTCAAGTGTGCTAACTTACAAGTAAGTTATAGGAGTTTATTTTAATGATATGCCAATAGTTTGGGCAAAAAAATCACCACCTCTTTCTTTCCAAAAGACGTTTTGGGCAAGAAAAAAAACCCATTTTGGGGAAAGAATGACTTTAGGAAGGTGGAAACAAAGATACAGGAAAACCAGGAAAACATTTTGCTCCACTGTCAAATTGTTTCACTCAGAGCTGGTACTGTTTTCATCCACACTAAGCTTGTTTTCAGTCAATAATTCCTTAATATTGATGAAAACGTTCTAGTTCCATTGTGCCGTTACCTAGCAACGCCAGGCAAGCCCAGCCCGTTGCCTAGCAACCCAGTTTTAGTTCCACAGATAACATGGGGAAATGTCTTGTTAATAAGTTAAATAATTTCCCAGTTGAACTAGTACTTTATTAAAATTAATATTTACGAATTGTTGACCTAAAACAAGCTCCTATTTTTTGCTGAATAGCTACTTATAAGTTAGTTTTGTATTATTTCAAGTATAGTAAGATGTTTGCACTAGAAAATAGACAATAAATCCTTGGTAAGGTTTTGTGTTTTGCAGTGAACAACCACTGAACAAAAATGTAGCACCTCTGACTGAAATATTGAGCTCTTATGTTAATTTCTGTGTTTCATTCCTGTCTGTCATTCAGTAACAGTGTCATCATTGCCTTACAAACATACAGGACTGTATGTTTGAGCTTTTCCCTTTAAAAATGCAGTTTTATAACCACAATAATGCAGTTTAGTGATGTAATTATTACCTGATTCTTTACTCGTTTTAAAGGCGCTATGAAACGCTCATTGGTGTCGTTAAAAAGAAAGGCTGGTGCTGTCTGAAAGGCGGACTGGATGGTGTAAACTTGTTGACTGCTGCATTTCAAAAGCAAATGCAATACACTTTATGGTAAGCTATAAAATCAAAAGCATTCAAAATGACTTTTCTTTTTGGTCGCCTTCATTCTGAGTTTATATGTTATGACCAAAAGGAAAAACAAACCTTGTTTACTTTGTGTGTATTAAATATGTTTTATTTAACGTCATATTCAATTTTGTTTTTGTTTTTAGTAATCTTTTTATAATTATAAATAAAGAGTAATTTATTCTTCATGTGCACCACTGTATTTTTTTTTCCAACTTTATGGACATCATTCATGGGTGGCTTTTGGTTTCGTTGCCACTTGGAAACAATGTTTTATTTGTCCAATTCTTTGTTTTTCATTTGTTTCTATATTCCACGTGTTTCCTTTCCACCCAGTAACAATGTTGTCTTCATTTCCTTGTTACTCTGGAAACAAGGCAGCGTATTTACGTAATTTGCTTATGCATTGGGCCAACTCCCATTTTAGTCTTGTAGAAACTTGCCACAAGATCCAGCTGGATTACATTTTACCAGTCTGACTAAGCCAAAGTGAAAGGGAGTTCCTGGGCAGAGAAATGATCACAATGTTTGCAGGGAGTCCCCCTGTTTCTGAGGATTTCCATAGCATCTGTAACTACAACAGAAAAGTGAGACAGTGGATCGATGGAAATAAATATTCACGTTCTGTCTGGAGACTTAAAATATGATTTCAGGGACGTGTTTTCCTTTTAAGAATACATAAAACATAATTTCTTCATTTAATCCATAAATAAAGGTCCGGATCCATAAGTGATATGTGAAACACTATCAGGACCGCTGCAAAAATTCAGTTTAAAATTATCTTAATTGATTCCTCCAAAGATGTGACTAAACGGCTTGGAAAATAGACAATAAGTGGCAAAATATTCCCCTATTAAGATGACTTACTAGCAATGTTTTCATTTCTGGATATGAAGCCAAAGAAATCCATGTTTGAAACTTTGAATGTAAATCATCCAATAATGTTTAAGTAACTATGTGTCCATAAAGGTGAGAATATGACAAATACTAACTTAGTTTTGGTAAATTCATGAGAAAGTCGGAGATAATGAGACCTCCAAAGCCAGTTCAGTTTATTTAAATTGCACCAAATGTCTAAAACAAATACAGAAAATGTATTTATACCGACACCATGAATACATGATCCAGTCATGTTGACTTTTAATGAAACACACAGCCCCATCTGATCCTTGATTTTTAAGAGTTTGAGTGAGTTTATATTGCCTTTTAGTCAAAGTTAGGAATCCCAGTCAGCTTAATGAGTCATTGATTGATGAGGATGTGGTGGCAGTGGAGAGAAACCTCAAGCACATCCAGGCTTAGTGTGAGGGAATAACTGAATAATTGCAACGACCACCAACGATGGCTTTGAGAAAACAATATGAACATAGAACAAAAAAAGCATCTGCACTTAAAAGAGTAAAAAAATAAATAAAAAAAAGCAGGTCTTGAATCTATAAATATAACACATATTGGTTGATGTTGATTGAGTTGCCATTGCAACAGCTTTTAACTGACTCAGCAAAAACGCTGTTGTGCTCCACCAAGGTTCGGGCTTCACTGGCCTCTTAAAGTTTTATTTTGCTGATCAGAGGCTGGAAAGTTTGGTAACCAGGCATTTTGATTGATTGAGCAGCAGCAGCAGCTCAGTTTTGATCCTGTTTAGGAAATAAAAAGGATTAAATAGGGAATTTCTGGGCCAGTAGTGATGAAAGGCAGATAAAAGGTAGCAATTACTTATAAAGTGCCTGAGATACAGACAGAATTACTGGGATAATTGTATCCTCTCCTGAAACTAACAAAAATAAAAGAAAATTGTTCAGGTTTTCTTGTATGGACTTGTGTTTTGGTTTATCACAACAGCGTTTCCATGGATTTGGGCTTATTGATAATATGAGCATAGCTCCATCTAGTGGTCAAAATTCATATAACAAATTATTTGAGAGAAGCGCAACCGTTGTTTTATTTAGTTATCTGAATTTTAGGATTAAATTATCTCTCACATTGTTAGTGAATCGTTTTTAGCAATTATACCGTGGAAAACTTGTTTATTTGACGTTCTTTCAGTAGACAGTTGCGGAAAACTTGTTTATTTGACGTTCTTTCAGTAGACAGTTGCGGTTAAAGTGGTTGTGTACGGAAGGGAGGCTACCTCACGTGCGCGCACCCGTCTACATTCACGAGAACCCGCACGCAGCTGTCAGTAGGAAATGCTGTCCGTGTTGGATGGATGCACCCTGCGGCTGTACCAGGATAAATTTATGACACATAGCGTGTTCTTTAATTCAGAATGTAAACGTTTTACCTAAACGGTCGCCTTTATTTAATGGGAGTAAATGCAGTAATTCCGCAAATCTTTTTGAGACATTTAGCTAGCCAGTAAAACGGGACACTAACAGCCGTAATGCTAATAGCTACATTAGGCTAATATAAGCTAAGTTAGCCGGACGGTTGCTCCTCTCACTGCTCAGCCCGTGTAGCGGTTCCGATCCGGGGACTAGCCTGTTCATATTCTCTGCAAACGCAATAGTTTTTGCTGAAACCGGAGCTGTGGCGGGGAAAGGTGACCGCAGCAACCCCCTGGCTATCCAGGCGGACGGACCGCAGTGACACGCCGGTTGTTGGTGAGTTGAATGGCGGAGGTGAAGTTGCGTCTGACCGGGGCGCTGGGCAGGGCGAGGCCGTGGACGCTGTTCACTGCTCGCTCAGGGCCTCCTCAGGCAATGAGGGTGTTAACTGTCAGCTATTAGTAAACCATTAGCCCCGAATCGGGAAGTTGAGTCGCTTTGGCCTTCAGAGAGGATATGACAACAAAGACGGCGATGCTATTTGCTGCTGCTGCTGCTGCTGAGGCACCTTACCGCTAGCTGCGTGGGACAACCACAACATTTATGAAGCTGCTTTCTCAGCAAAGTACTGGATCACCATGGTGGTCCGGACGCTTTGTTGAGGTTGCATGCTGTCGTACTAGTTCATCTATAAATTACAGCCGCAGCTTTATTTATTGCATTTTCTATAAAGCATCTGAGTATGAATAACCTAACTTCCTATATTGGTAGCTCTATAAGAGACGGTAAGATTGTTTTTAACCAGTTAGGTAGTAACTAGTTACATTTATAACTAGTTTACTTTATTACATTTACTCAGTCACATTTCCTTGTAATTGTTACCCACTGAATGAAAAACAAACATGTTTTATCCAAAAATTCACCAGACACTCACCTGCTGATTTTTTTAGAGTTTCATAAGTTTTTTTTATTGAAAGAATCTGATTTGGAAAAATTTGTTTTATTTTTTGTTAATTGTATGAATTATTGTCATTTTGGTTTTTAAAATGCCAAAAATTTCCACTTAACTTTATATTTTTGTCTGTCTTAAGTAATTTTCAATATTAGATGATTGATAATTTGGTCAGTTACTCAATACTTGAATTGATTTTTTACCAAATACATTTTTACTCTTATTTGAGTAAATTTTTGGATACTCTGTCTACTTGTTTTTAACTGGTTTACATGTCTGTGTCTTTAACAATAAGCATTAATGTTTACCATAAACCTTTTTGCTTATCTTATAAATATGAGATTATATAGTAACTTTAATTAAGTGGTGTGTCTTTTCACAGTGTAATTAAACAGTTTAAAAATTTCCCATTAGTTTGAAAACAGCTTTAAAATATCATAAACCCACAAATAAAAAAGTATTTTTGCGATTGTGTTGTATTTGCTTTGCGCAAACCTAAAAAACTTGATTTAAGATTTTTTTTTCTTTTTAAATCTACTGAAAATAGTTCATATTGAGAGTGAAAATGTATTTGCAGACATTTTGGCAAATAAAAAAAACATTTAAATATCCACTTTTTTCACTTCCGATACTGATATCTGAGGTTTGGTATCCTCTGATACCAATGCAAAACAGAAAAACAGCTCAATTCACTCAAATGTTTATTTTTTTTTTAAAACAGAGACTTGAATCTGCTAAATTACAAATTTATTTGATAACTATGCACCAGTACTACACATTTGAATACACCATAAGCTTTGGTCAAACATGTAAAAACAACTTTAGTTTACCATCTTCGTGTTGCTTTGTCAACCTTCCCGTTTGATTAACAACAAAATAAATGAACATGATTAACCAAACATTGTTACTCAAGATTTTTGGTTATTTTTCTTTCTTAGAGTTCTTATAAATGAGAATTTCCTTTTGTTTTTCAGATTATTTAGGCTGTCATTCTACTTCTATGAGAAGTTCCTTTAAACATGTAAATTCAGCTGGTTTAGCAGAAGAGGAAATGCAGCGTAAAGCCTCTATTGTTTGTAAATTAGTGTAGGTAGCTTTTGTTAGCAAATAAAGATGTATAAAATGCCTTCAAATAAAGTAAAAGTTGTATTAAAGTTGCATAATCTCACTCTAAAATGTAAAAAAAAAATCCACAAACCTTTAATTTATGTAAATTTATTCTGTGAAGAAAATACTAAGAAAAATATTTCTTAGAAAAATGTCAATTTGCGCAAGTATTTGTACTTCTGCTGTTAATGTTTTTCACAAACCTCTTCTCTATATAAGTCAGCACTTAATATCTTCCTGTAATAGCATAAATTAATTAACCATTTGATAAATTAGTTTAAAATGAGCACACTAATGTCCATTTGGAAAACATTTGTTGGAGTTATTTCCCTCTAATATTACTGAAAGATGCCATTTTGATTTTGCACTACCTGTCCTTTTTGCCTGTTTTCCCTGTCTAAACTGAATATTTTTTAATAAAATTTTTGTTACAGAGACTTCATACTCCATTTTAAGTTTTTTTTTTCTTTTTTTTTAAATCTTTTATCCATTATTGTTATGATATTGGGTCAAAATTGCCTCAAAATGACAATATTATTGTTTTTTGCAATAATTTTTGGGACAATTTGTCCCTAAATTTGTTATTGTGACACGTCTACCCAGGTTGCCAGCAGAGTTTGAATTCGACAAAAACTTCATAATTTCTATTACCCAGAGTTTCAGTTTCTACTTCAAGCTGCCCACTGCCTGTTACACAACACTTTTTATTGGAAAAAACTCCAGATTTAGTCATGGTCTGGGTTAGAAATCAAAGCATGCTGTTAAAGAGGCTCATCCAGCTTGTTGGTATTGTTTTGAGAAAAACGGGAAGTCCCGCCTTCTCGCTTATTGTAATTTTAGTGCAAATCTGAGCCAGAAATGAGTCACTTATTGGATGAAGCCAGATGGAAAAACAACTCAATTATTCATTTCTAATTGCTTATTACCATCATGTACTTTAGTTTCAAGTGGTTCTTGCTGAAAAGCAACACTTTTTAAATGCAGTTAACCTTTTAAAATGTTACACTAAGAAGAAAAAGTCTAGATTTGTTCATTTATTTGGTGTTTCTGTACTTATTTAAACTACTGTAACTAAATACAATCTAATTATTTTTTATTCCAAATCTGATTTCAATATTTTTTCTTATAAGAAAGAAATTACAAATGTTGATATTTTCAGAAAGTCTTATTTCAATCAGCCTTTTGTAAGTTGAATGACGGAGTATTACAAGAATTTTTGATTAATTATGAGAATATTATCACAATAAAGATGCAATTTTATCACATTTACATCTTAAAATGATGAGAAATTAGTTTTAATGAGAAAAAAGCTTCAGTAAAAAAATTGCTTAATTTTTGTGCTGATATTCTAATATTACCACTTTATTTACTGATTTTATTTCAACTTTATTGTCATATGACTTTATTCTCTTATAGCTGTGAATGTATTCTTGTAAATTATGACTTTTTCTGCATTAAAAATAAACGTAGCTTGACCCAATATTTTTCGCAGAGTTGATTTGAATTCATAGCGGTGATCAATTAAATCCGTAAAAACAAGATGGCCGCCTTGGGTGTGCTGAAATATGGAAATCATTGAAGTGTATTGGTGAAAAATAATCCAGATTCTCCAAAGATTAAATCTCCAAACACCAGAAATTTGATTGATTGATTAGATCAACTTGTCGCCAAACCATTTTGTCTGTTTTTTGTAATTTATTTTCTCTTAATTTGTCCCAGAGACCTGAAATTGGAGCCATGGCTGAGCTGTCCACCTTGCCTCCTTCTCCACCTCAGCTGGGCGACCCCAGTGCCGCTCCAGCTTCCAGCTGCCCCGACTCTGTGAATGAGCTGCCTCTGCCGAAGTCTTCCCTCTACAACGACAAAGCTTTGACTGGAAACACTTCTTCAGCACTTTCAAGAGGTCCGACCACGACTGCTCAACCTGAGACAGAGGAGCCAGCAGGGAAGAATCAGGAAACGGCGACCGGCGGCCAATCTGTTGCAGAGTCCGGTTCTTCCCAACCTGCAGCCCAGATAAAAACCACGCAGGAGCCGTTGTCTCCGGATTTAAACCCTGGCCCCAATCTGTACCCGAGCGTCCATGTTTCCTCTAACCCGGACCCCGTCATCGACGTCGCTCAGCCGCAAACCAGTACAGATTTCAACCCTGCAACATCATCGACTGACGATCAGGAGAAACCTCAGCCGCCACCGCAAGCACAAAAACCTCAAAATGAGCTGCCGCCACCGCCGTCCCCAAACCCGGATCCGGTCGCTGAAGAGCTGCCGACTACGTCCACCAGAGCGGCGCCGTCGAGCCCAACTTTGCCTGTGATCAAAGAGCCAGTCGGCCCGCTGTCGTACCCCAAACCAAAACCGGCGCCGGACACGCTTAGCTACCTGGACTCGGCCAGCCTGATGTCAGGAACGCTGGAGTCGCTGTCCGGGTTGGGAGAGGACGGGAGCTCTGTGGGCTCAGACTCTGAGATCAACGGGCTCACCTTGAGACGCACCGATAAGTACGGGTTCCTGGGTGGCAATCAGTACAGCGACAGTGGGTAAGTCACTGCTAACACTCCCTGTCTTTATGTTTGATCATCTGCTTCTCATATGATCAAAAACTTCATCCATTCAGATCCCAGTTTGGAGAATAAGACTCTCAGAAAGGGCTGAGATTTTCACATGTTGATATTGGAAGTTTTTATAGATGCAGCTAGAGAGGAATGCTATGTTATTGCATTTCAGGCAATAAAACATTCATTTTCTTGTTTATAAAAGGAACTTAGTTGTTTAATGTATTTTTAACATAAAAAAGCAACTGCGGTTAAATAAATCGTCAGAATAATCATGACTCAAATAATTGTCAGTTTCAATCCTGAAATGTTGCAGTTTTCCTCCCCAAATCGAACCAAATCTACCAATTTATCAGGTGTGAAAACACTTTTTGAAAGCTGGGAACCAGGACAGTCAGAAAACTATAAAATAGACGCTTCCTGACAACAGGAAGTAGACGAAAAGATCAGCACAGCTTGCCCTGATCTGAAGAAAATGAAGAAATCTATCCAGAACGGCACCTGAAGCAGTGATGGTGCAGAATCAGGGTTCAGGATTCAAGAACAGGAGAAAATACCTGGAGAAAAATGATTCTGCATGAGTTAAACCTTTAAATATTCAGTGGCATGAACACAAACCAGTCAATGTGACTCGATCAATGAAATGTAAAAGACTCATGGCGAGTTAGGTTTTATGACATAAGAGAGGTTTTTGCTTAATGAATAAAATCTGTACATTATTGATTCCATGCATTTACTTTCTGATCGTCCTTGTGTTGCTCCTTTTCCTTTCTGCAGCACTAAACGTATCTCTGTCCTTTATCTCTCCTCTGGTCTGACTCAAATAGTGCTGAGAGCGTTTTTCTGACTCAGTCTGTTCTGACTGTGTGTGTTTCTGTGGTGTCACACACACACACACCATCGGCTCTCTTCCTATTTTCTGCTCAGATTGGCTTCTGTTTATCTGTCAGACTAATTGCACTTCCACTGATAAATAATTTAGGTTTTTAGATGTAATTTTCTGCTCTGTTTGTTCTGCTTTGTGACCGAACACTTCCACTATTGCAGATAAATCTCAGTAAATTTAAAAATGGAGAAAAAATTCAATATTTTTAAATAAAACCTATATAATAAATTGATTTATCACACATGGAGTTAAATTCTGGCTGTTGCAGACAAAAAACGTGGAGCAGATTTCTGCCAAAAACTCTCAAATTTTGAGATCAATTTCAGAAATTTTTTAGAAAAAAATGCTTGTGTCAGAAGTCAGAAATGTTTGACTTTTCAACCTCAGAAATTTCTGGGGGTTTTTCGAGAAAATTTCTGACATTAATCTAAAAATCTCTGAATTTTTTATCTAGCAAATTTCTGACTTTTCAAACGGAGAAATTTCCAAGTTTTTCCTAAAAGTAATTTATGAAATTAATCTAAAAATTTTTTTTCTAGTAAATATCTAACTTTTCAAACTTAGAAATTTCCTACATTTTTCTAGAAAGTTTCTTAGCTTAATCTCAAAATTTAAGAATTTTTCTCACAAACTTTTGAGCTCAGAAATGTCCGTGTTTTTCCTAGAAAATTTCTAAGATTAATCTGAAAACTTAATTTTTTGACATTTACTCCTTTTTTTCCTGAATTTTGAGTTTTCAGTCTCTGTAAGCGACGTTTATCAATACTGCACAAAATAAAGGTGTGGAATTTAATAAGAAAATGTACCGTTTTGTCATGTAAAATGTTTTTTATTATTGTCATTTAGTGAAAAGGAAGTTCGAGTTGAAGTTGCGAGGCAAAGGGAGTTGAAGTGGCTGGACATGTTCTGCCACTGGGACAAGTGGGTCAAACATCGCTTCCAAAAGGTACGCAACGGCAATTCCTCTGAAGGATTTACGTTTTGTTTTAAATTTACTCTTTTATGCATTTAAGTTGTGAACTTTCTGTGAACTTCAGGTGAAGCTGCGCTGCAGGAAGGGAATCCCGTCGTCCCTCAGATCCAAAGCCTGGCAGCTGCTGTCCGACAGCCAAGAGCTGCTGGAGGCAAACCCGGGAAAATTTGATGTAAAATTCATCACTTCATTTTTTTTATTCCTAAAATCTAATCTTTTTACGTTAGATTTTTGTTATCTTAACTTTTAAATCCTTGTAGGATTAATTATCAAACCCTTTTTTTAGCGCTGAAACGATTAATCAATGACTGAAGTAACTGTTAGCAGTTAAGTGCAGTTTGCAGACTCAAAAAACGCATTTAGAACAGTAATGGAGCCAAAACTGTACAAAAAATATTAAAGATAAAATAAAAACCTGAAATATTCAACCAAAAACTCCCCAAGTGGCAATGTTAGCTTCAGTTGATTCAAATTCTGAGAAAAAATACAAAAAAATCTCCTATTAAGAATCTTTTGCCATCCAATTACTAATCAATTAATCCAAAAATAAGCATTGATTGACATAAACAGTTTTGATGTCAAGCAGAAAGAGATGCACTTTTCACTTGTTGATGTCTCAAATATTTTCTTTCCAGCTGCATTAAAGGAACGCCATGTTAGGCAATAACATTTTTATTTTCCTATATAAAAAGGAATTTAATTAGTTATTTGCAAAATTTAATGTGTTTCTAATATGTTAAAATGCATTTAAATGAAAAAGTTGACAGAATGTGCCCAGAAATCTTTTATCCGATTAATCGTTTATCAGGTGGATAGATTGATCTTTAGTTGCAGCCCTGCTTTTTGTTTCTAGCTGCCAGTATAGATGCTACACAGTCTGTTCGATATCTGACTAAAAGTTGGACTGAGAGCTTTAAATCTAGAGGTACAAAATGGCTGCAGACACAATGAGGTGTAATCTTCTTAACAGGTAATCCTCTCTCTGTCGGCTCTGGTTTTTGTCCCAGTCTGAAGGTTTACTCCTTATTTTGTTCCAAAAAAGCATTCATTTAAAAAAAACAAAAAACAATTTCTTTTGAACTTCTTCACCTAAAACCTCATGATGCATTTTCCAGGATTTACATGGAGTCAAAAGATGATGAAGAATGAATTAGGGATGAAATTATTAATTTTATTAATCAATTTTAAAAAAATTATTGTCAACTAATTTAGTAATCGATTAATTGTTAACTAGAGTTTACAAACTCAAAGTAATTAAGCCAAAACTGTAGAAAAAGTATAACATTTTAAGATAAATTCTTAGTCTGGAAAAATGTTTTACCCAGAATTCCTCAGGTTTAAATAGTTTTAACTTCACCAGTTTCCACAAGAAAGGAACTGAAGCACAGTTTGCTGTTCAGTTATTAATTGTTTAATCCCAAAAATAATCAACAGAGAAGGTTGAGCTTTTCACATGTTGATGTTAGAAGTTGTTGTTTTTTTAGCTTCACTAAACGCTATGTTGCTTTTTTGGCAATAAGATGTTTATTTTCTCATTAAACATTTTTTCTTATTAAAAGAAGGAATTGAATTGTGTTAATTATAAGAGTATTTTTGTGAATTTCTGATGTATATATATTAAACCTAAATGGAGAATCTGTACTATGTGCCAATTTTTTTTATCCGATTAATCGTCAGAATAGTTGATGACTAAAATAATCTTGAGTTGTATAATAAAATGACACATTTCTTGTTTTGCTTTCACTGCAGGAGCTGGAGAGAGAGCCGGGTGAGGCTAAATGGCTGGACATCATCGAGAAAGATCTCCACCGGCAGTTTCCTTTTCACGAGATGTTTGCTGCGCGCGGCGGTCATGGGTAAATGTGCAGCTCTGATCGAAAAGTAGCCTAGCATTTCCCACAAAGGCGGCGCAGCAGAAGTGGCCCATAAACATTAAGAAAAGTGCTTTTTTTTCCAGGAGTAGAGAGAAAATTTTCACCATAAAACCTCAGAAGAGCTGGCATTTTAACAAAGTCTCATTCTCGATGTGTTTGCTTTTGCAGGCAGCAGGATTTGTACCGCATCCTGAAGGCCTACACCGTGTACCGGCCTGATGAGGGCTACTGCCAGGCCCAGGCTCCCGTGGCGGCGGTGCTGCTCATGCACATGCCTGCAGAGGTTAGAGCTTCCCCATCATCTCATTTAGGAAACAAATATGATAATTCTGCAATAACCTGTACAAAATTACTGATATTTTTATAAATGTTCAGTTACCATGAAGTTATGCCACATGTACATCAGAATATTCAGATTTATTTAGCTTTAGCCTAACAAAAAGTGACATCTCATAACCACAAACTTCATTCTTTTGTACTTTGTTGCACAAACTAGCACAAATAAAAAAGCTCAAACTTAGATTTGTCATTAAGTTTTAGCTCCGTCTGTCTGTTAGGTTTTTAAGTTGTTTTTTTGTGTTGCGGTGGCAGCATCATGGAGCAGCTCGTTCTGATTTTCTTCTTTGTTCATAATTTTTTGATTGAGGCATTTCTGGAAAGATTTTAGCTCTGATTCTTTGTTTACTTTCGGACAATTAATTGTACATCTCTTTGATAGATTTCAAACTATACGGCCAGACAGAGATTTATAGAGGAATGGCAAAAGCAAACGAGGTGGATTAGCAGCTAAAGTTGTCCTCCAGCTCATGCTACTGTGGAACATCCTCTCTGCTGTTTGAATGTTGAGCTAACAGTCATACAGTGATGGTTTCTTCAGTCAGAGGCCTCTTGACAAACGTTGGAAGACTGACTGCTGCTGGAGTCCTGACATTCAATTTCCTTTTGAGATAAATTAAGTGTTTTTTAATTGATTTAAATTGAAATTACACACAAGTGGACATCTGAGTTGAGTCTGTTGGACTTTATTTAGAGTAAACAGTGATGGGAACAGATTTTCCTCAGTAAAAATCTAAACATTTTTACCTGCATTTTGCAACTATCGCTTCTTTTTGCTCCACTGTTACATAAACGGCGTTATAATTCCAGCTTGATGCAAGACCAGATTACAGGAAGATTAGTTAATGTCAGTGTGTCACACGCTTACCGCTTGTTTTTCTTGCACACAGTCCTCGTTTCGTTAGAAATTAGAAATCATTTTTCGAGTTTGGTGTCAGCTTGTGCCCACTCGGCGTACACACCACAGAAGAGCGTGGGCATAGTGGAAAAAACAAAACACGGACACAGCAGAAGGAGCTTACCGCAGCTGCAGATACAGACATCAACAAGAAGGAAGTGTTTGTAGTTTTTAGGACGACTCATTTAGAAGTTAAAAATTATGTTTTGCATCTACCTTTGAAGGATCCATATTAACTGAGACTCTTTTTTTGTAGCGTAGCGTCTAAATGCAGGAAGTGGGCAGAAATAGAGAGGGAGTTCAGCAAAAGTCCAGAACTTATGAAAAAAATATTTTTTTGGTGTGAAAAAGCCTCATCTGCTTATAAACGCTAAACCAAGAGACAACATGCAGTGATATAAGAAGTATTTACCCTCTTGGATGTTTTACTCTTTTTGTTCAAGGTTTGGAAAGTGCTGGATTTCTGTATAAAGTCCGTGACAGTGGTTGATATTCAAACTGAACAGTTTTATAATAAATTGCAATCTAATGTTTGATTAAAATCCTAAATTTGGAAAGCTTTATTTACAGTTGAAACCAGATATTTACATACACCGAATAAAAAGAGAAGCACTTTTTTTTCCACTGTGTAAAGTGAGACTAAACTTTTCTTGTTTACGTTGGTTAGAATTACAAAAGTTATTTATATTTGCTAAATGCCAGAAACCTTAGCTAGAACATTATTTAGAGATTTTTTTGCACAGGGTTTAGCATCCAAAGGGTTGAATACTTTTTATAGTAGCTGAAAATATAGAAATATAAAGTTGCAAATGCTGCATTGCAGTAACCTTTAAAGGTTTTCTGTGTCTTTCTGTAAACTTAAATAAGGCTTAATTTTGTGTTTCGCAGCAAGCTTTCTGGTGCCTGGTCCAGATTTGTGAGAAGTATCTCCCTGGCTACTACAGCGCCGGCCTGGTGAGCGAACGAAGCGACCCGTTTTCATTTTCTCCATTTCTCAGGATTGTTAACTTTCCCTTTCTTTTTGTTAGGAAGCGATTCAGCTGGACGGCGAGATCTTTTTCTCTCTCCTGCGGCGCACGTGTCCGATGGCGTACCGCCACCTCAAGAAATTCAAGATTGACCCGATCCTCTACATGACGGAGTGGTTCATGTGCATATTCTCACGCACCCTGCCGTGGTCCTCTGTGCTGCGTGTCTGGGACATGTTTTTCTGTGAAGGTACAACTCGCTTTTACCTCTTTTGTCACAATTCAATTTAGGACAGGAACGATTAATTGTGATTAATTGATTATTGAAATAATCATCAGCTAATTTAGTAATTGATTAATCGTTAACTGGAGTATACAGACTCAAAAATATAGACAATTTGCTGGAAAAAAAAAAAACCATTCAGAGTGGTAGCTAATTAAAACAACAAAAAATACAGTTTTGCTCAGTTCATCTTAATTTTGCAATAAGATAAAAAAAAATCTCACAAACCATGTAGGACTGAAACGATTAATCAAATCAATCTAGATTAATCAATTATTGAAATAATCGTCAACTAATTTAGTAATCGATTAATTGTTAACTGGAATACACATACTTGGAAAAAATAGGCTATTTGTTTAATAAAAAACCCGAACATATTCAGAGTGGTAACTACGCGCAAAACTACAAAAATATATACATTTTGCAACTAAGATAAAAGAAAAAAATGTTGGCTTGTAATTATTTTCTACCCAGAATTCCTCAGGTGGCGTAATTTTCACTTCACCTGGTTTCTGTAAAACTCACACATGTAAAGGCAGCTCACAAACCATGTAGGACTGAAATGATTAATCAGATTAACCTAGATTAATCAAATTAACCTAGATTAATCAATTATTGAAATAATCATCAACTAATTTAGTAACCGATTAATCGTTCACTCTAGAGACTGAAAAAAGCCCATTTGCTGAAAAAAACGACGACACACTCACAGCAGTAAATAAGCCACAAATGGCCCTTGCAGCTTTACTCTAGATTTAACTTTTCTTTCTCATCTCTTGAGAGAAATGTTTTTTTAATCTGTGGTTGTAGGAGTGAAGATAATATTTCGCGTGGGCTTGGTGCTGCTGAAGCAGATGCTGGGCTCGGTGGATAAACTCCGGGAACTGCAGGGAATGTACGAGACCATGGAGCGGCTCAGGAACATCTCACCCGACACCATCCGGGAGGACGTGCTGGTGCAGGAGGTGAGCAGAAACAAACTGCAGAAACAAAATATTACCAAGTATTTACACTGTAGTTTCTGGTGCAAAAATCAGGCACAGGGCTGAAACTATTAATCAGTTATTGAAATAATCGTCAACTAATTTAGTAATTAGTTAACTAAAACTCTAAAAAAAAGGTCAATTTGCTGAAAGAACAACATAGTCAGAGCAGAAATGAATCCAAAACTGAACAAAATTATTATTTTTCATTAAAGTTAAAAATAAACCCTTTAACTGGAAATATGTGCTCCATAAAACTCAAGTGGTACTTTTAGCTTCACAAGATTAAAATTCTGTAAAAAAATATTTTCTATTAAGCAAAGCACCTTTTGCTATTATTATTTGGTTAATTAATAAAAAATAATAATATTAATGTATGCTATGTTATTGCATTTTGAGCTATTCTATTTTTTCCTTATTCAAAAAGGAATTTGTTTGCATATTTTAATTAATTTCTAATATTGTATAAATAATCTTAGCTTTTTATTCATTTAAAAAAATAAATATTTTGTTCTTTTTTAAGCTGTTTAGTTTTCCTTGTATTTGTTGCTGCCTCTTGGTCAGGACTCCTTCACTAGGGTTTTTTTATTCTTGTAAAATAAATATTAAATAAATACGTTTTTAAAAATCTGTATAACCAATAAAATAATATCTAACTAAAATAAACATTAGTTTCAGTCCTAATCTTATAACAACACTTGAAATGAGACAAAACAAACTTAAAAGTAACTTTTCAGTAAGATATAGGAGCTTGTTTTCAGTAAATAATTCTTTATATTGATGTAAAAGTACTAGCTACTTTATGGCACTTTCAACTGGCACTGCGCCGTTGCCTAGCAACCCCCACCTAGCCCAGGCCGTCACCTAGCAACCAAATTCCAGTTCCACAGGCAGATTACTTCACTTAGAGCAAGAAGTTCATTTCGTTTTCATTTTACTTATTTACTTTAAACAAGTTTTCGAAAACAAGCAGTCAGTAGGACAAGAGAAAATATGTGTGTACATAAAAATAAAAAATTAGTTTACTTCTACATTTCTGTTTAAAAAGGAGTAGGAAGAAGTAAACACTTATTTAATCCTATACCCTTTACCCCAGTTTAATAAAATATATTATTTATCAACTCAATAATTATCAGAAATTTGTAACTAAAACTTTATGATATTCATATGCCTGTTAAATATGCAGTGAAAAAGAACCAGTAAATAAATTATTTTACATAAACAAAATTATTACAAGCTAATTCTCATAGCTTGACAAAAAGTATATGAACTCATTATAATAATAATTGTAAATAACAACCGGGGAGAATAATGACCTTGCCAATGTACAACTTATAAATTCTGTTATTTACCAACAAATACAATTAAAAACAACCAGAAATAACAATAATAATCTACTAATAATGGTAATAATAATGCAGAAGAAAGCAAGGAAAAATAATTCATTATATTTGTGTTAATTCCCTTCTTTACTGTACAATGTGAGTAATATTTGTATTTAATCTTAAACTAAAGGAAAATAAGTGGAACTTGAACTTTCTACTCATTTTAATCTAATAACCGTTTAATTGCATCCTTATTTCCAGTCATAATGTTCATAAATAAGATATTTGCACTAGAAACTCGTCTACTTGGTCGGATTTTTGGTTCTGTTTTTCTGTTAGACACACAGACTTGCGTAATGACTCATTTTCCAGGCGGCACCTCATCTCACTTCCTCTGTCTGTGCTCAGATCATAATGCTGCCGGTGACCGAGGCGCTCATCGAGAAGGAGTGCAGCGTCCAGGTGAGGAAGTGGAAGGAGTCCAGAGGTGAGCTGACCCACAAACCGGGCCGCCGGCTCCACGGCACCAGAGCCATCTTTGAGTACAAGCGCCGGGCGTCGTCCATCAGCTCAGGCGGCAGCTTTTCCTTCCTGGGCAGCTCTGCGCCGCCGCCAGGGCCGCTGCGCGCTTCGTCCAGCCTCCTCTCCCTGCCCGGTTTCCGGAAATCCAGAGCTCCCTTCTTCTCCCAGCCTAAAAAAATCTCCTTCTCCGGTCCTTCTGGGGCGGAGAGTCAGTCGCCTGTCGCCTCATTGTCAGGCCAGAAGCCGCCAATCCCTCCGAGCGCGGCTCCGAAGGCGGCAACGCCGCACGTCCAGAGCCCGTTAGCCGCGGAGAGCAGCTCAGCACAAATCCAGCCGGCTCCGCCAAACACTCTGTCGCCGAAGATCGTTTCAGAGCAGATCACTCCCACAATCCCATCGCCGACAGCCAACAACGCGCCGCTGCAACCGCAGCTGCCGCCGCCGCAACCGCCGCCGCAACCGCCAAAAGAAACAACCCCATCTGTGTCCGGAGAGGACGAAGGGAAGAAGAAGAAGAAAAGCAAAGAAGACAAGAAGAAGGAAAAGGAAGATGAGAAGAAAAAGATGAAGGAGAAGAAAGAGAAGGAGAAAGTTGAAAAGGAGAAAGCGAAGAAGGAAAAGGAGAAGAAGAAAGCGGGGAAGAAAAAGGACAAAGGGACGGAGGAGAACGGAGCGACGGCCGCGGCGAAAGATTCAACCTAGTTTTTCCCACAATAGTTGGGGGGAAAAAGGGAAAAACAGACAGAAAACCTGATTAAGGTGGGGCGACTTCCTGTGTCATTTCTGAGACTTTATATATTTGAAAGACTGATGAAGATGATGAAGACTGGATTATGGTTTTAAAAGCACCTGGAGGGGCGGATTACCTCTCAATGCTTTTCTCCCCCCAACAACACAACTGGAGCACAGGCTGCACTGCAAAAACACAAAGTATTAGCAGGGATTTTTAGTCTAAACTTTAGTGCAAACGTCTTGGTACATTTGAAATACAACAAAACTAACTTTTACTTTTCAGCAAGAAATAGGAGAAAAGTTGTATTATTTCACTTATAACAACGGAATATTAGGCAGACACTAAGAAAATAATAGAAAAATGAGCAGAAGGTCCTAAAATGATACAAGGATAAAGTCACAATATTACCGCTTTATTCTCGTGTTATTACATCTTTATTATGTTATTCTGACTTTATGCTCGTAAAATTTGGAATTTATTCTCGTAAACCTACGACTTTATTTTCATACGACTTTATTCTCGTGTTATTACAACTTTATTCTCGCGTTATTACGACTTTATTCTCGTGTTATGACTTTATTTTCATGCGACTTTATTCTCGTGTTATTACGACTTTATTCTTGTAAAATTAAGACTTTATTCTCATCTTTTTGTCTTGGTAAAACACTCCAAAGCTCCTTTATCTTGCTGAAAAGTTACTTTTAACTTAGTTTTGTCTTATTTGAAGTGTACTGAGGTATTTGGTCTAGAAACAAGACAAAAAATACTTGGTAAGACTTTGTGTTTTTGCAGTGCGTGGATCTGATTTTTTTTTTTTTTTGGTCGAGAAACATATTTTATCTTTTTTTTTGTCTGTCAGTTCTCACAGAAACACGAGGGAGTCTTTAGAAGTGGTGCCATAGTGTGTTAAATTAATTTAAATTAAAATCTAGCTGCAGCTGACAGGATTAACACTCCGTACGTTGTGTTTAACTGGATTACGGGGGATGAAACATCTCAAACGTAGGCACTGAAGACAAAATCGCTTTTTATGATGTCGAGGATGTATTTATTGTCTTTGTAAATGTGTGTGTGTGTGTGCCTTAGTAGATTAGTGAAATGTGTTGTGGACTCCAACAGCTCGCTTTTTTTTTTTTTCCGTTTTTTCTTTTTTTTTTAAATGTAATTTCAAACTAAAGTTGAACTCTTGCTGTGGTTCTTCCCAAACCCGTGACTTTATCTATGTCGTCTGATGGCGAACGCCGAGCCGCTCCGAAATGTTCGTTTGCTTGTTTTTGAGGGGGAATAATAGAAACAGGGGTTTGAAAAATCAAATTCAGGTGCACAAATTTGAGAACTTGATTAAAATGAACTCATGGGAAACACATCTAAGATTTAATACTTTTTCTTCTAAATTTGCACAGAAGATATAATTTTTTATGCCTTTTGGCAAAATTACGCCTGAATATTTTCATACGAGATCCAAATTTAATCATTTTCTTTTCTTTTTTGCTCAACTTCTGTTCTGAAAAAGAAATTACAAATGACAGAAAGTCATTTGTAATTGACTTTTATTTCATCATCCCTTCTGAGTCGAACGACGACATATTAAGTCATAACATTCACAGAAAAAGACACATTTAAAATTAAGAGAAAAAAGTCGTTTTAATGAGGATAAAATCTCCAGTTATCAGGATATAACATTTAAAATTTTTGTTGCTTTTCATCTCATAAAATTATGACTTTATTCTCCTAATTACGACTTTATTCTGGTAATACTATAACTTTATTCTCATATTACTTCGACTGATTTTATACTTGTAACTAAAAAAAAGAATCTTGCTCCAACTTCCCATCATAAAGTTGACCTGAATTCAAAGTTCAAATAAATAAAAGCTGTAAAATATGCTTATGAAACAAGATGGCCGCCTTGGGCGTGCTGACATCACTCGTTACTATGGAAACACAGGAAATGGGCTGGTGGGGGGGAAAAAAATCCAGATTATCCTAAACTTTCCAAAATCGTGAAAAACTAAAATTGATTTATTGAACCAACTCTAACTTTAGGAATACTTTTAATTTTAAATCACTTTAAAAACTTGATGCTACCCTGATTTAATCACTGATTTAATCCCTTGAAAACCAGTTTTTGTTGTTTTTTCCAAGGTGAAATGAATAAATTTCAAACTAGTTATTCGTTTTTTATTAGTCTGTCCATCAGTACCATTGGTGGCCCACAGCATAATGCTGCCACCACTGTGCTTGACAGATAAAGAAGTGTAATATTGACTCTTCCAAGCATAATGGTTATTATGACATAAGTCTTTACTGAGTGGCGCTGATGATCCAGCATATTCAGTGTTGCTATTCGCATCATGATCCATTTAAACTGGAAAGTCTGGGTGAAACTTTGGTGTTGATGATCCAAAAAGAAGCATTTTTGCGAAGATAAAGCTGGTTAAATTGGCGTTTGTGACGTAAAACCAATTGGTTTAGTTGAGTTCTGCCATTTATGCCAAGAAGAAATGTTGAATATTTCTCTGCAGCTCTTCTGGAAGAAGTTCAAATTTGTGCACCTAAATCTTGTTTTTAAGTTAAAAGAAAAAATTTGTAATATTCCAAACTTCTGAGCAAACAAAACACGGGAGACTGAAGGAAAGAGGAGACATTGTTATGGTGTTTCCTGTCCATGAGAAAATAATTAAAGGTTTCTATTCATATTAAAAAACGAAAGTGTTTTTTTGCACTCGTAGGACAAAGAAAGATACCGTAGTATTCATTTGAATCCAAATGAACAAATTGTACATCTTATCCAATTCAACATTTCACAACTTGAGCTCATTAAGCAGTGAGACTGTGATTTTTAAGGTCTTAAACAATGAAGGATGTTTTTTTTTTTTTTTTGCACTTGCACCATTGAAGTTATTCACTCATCTGTTTGAAATCACTGCCTTGAGGACCTACTGCAAGGTGCCAGGGTGTGCCAATGTAGCATTAATGTCTCATCCGGGTGTATTTATGTACAAAGGAGGTTAATTTAATCAAATATAGTATATTATGAATTATTATTTTCATCTGAATATTTTTCTAAGAGGAAGAGACACCTGTTGGACTGGAACGATGGACTTTTTGCACGTCAAACTTGATGCATTTCTTTTGCTTTTGAGTTTCCTCATTGTCGGTCTGGTTGAATTATTTTCAGTGGCGTACAGTATTAAAAGATCAGAGTTTAAAAGAAAGAAGCGAGGACAAACTGAACAAAGTGAGTCGATGGATTCAGGCAGAAACACGAGGAAAGCTCTTTGTGCTGTGTGAAACACCTAAAGGTGGTTTAACGGGGACGAGGTCTTCGTGTGTTTTAAATCTAAGGCTCTAATCTATTTACACTCAGTGTTTTGTACTGTAACCTTTATGCATACATTAAACGGCACTGAACCTGTTGAGCATAAAACCACGGCGAATCAGGGCCACTGTAGGAAGGAAAAGGAGTAAATACCCCAAAAAAATCCAGAAATTTCTAGATTGAACTCTGTAACTTTTGATCTCCACAAGTCAAATATTTGTGAGAAAATATTCATAAATTTTGAGATCAATTTAAAAAATTTGCAAGAAAAGTTCTGAGTTTGAAAATTCCAAAATTTGCAAGAAAAACTTAAAATTTTCAGATGAATCTAAAAAAAATATTTTTTTGAAAAAACTTGGAAATTTCCTTTTCAAACTTGGAAATTTCCAAAAGTTGAAAGTTTTCTGATTTTTTTCTTGCAAACTTTAGTCTTTTCAAACTCAAATTTCTATGTTTTTTTTCTAGGAAATTTCTGAAATTAATCTCAAGATTTGAGGGTTTTTTCATTGCAACTTTTTGACTTGGAGCTGTTTTTTTTAAATCTTTCATTAATTTTAAAATTAATTATTTTTTGGAAATTTTTGGAACTCACAATTTTCCAAGATTTTTTTTGCGATTAGTTTTAGTTTTTTTGGTGGACATTTTCTCTTCTCCTTTTTGTCTTCCATGGCCATATATGGTGTTGTAAAATAGTGCCGGACAGTTTGTGTAAAACCTTTTGGTGGCTGAGGACAAACATGGAGTCTGTAACTGTTCAGCAGTTTAGTCGTCGTACTGAACATCTCCTCCAGATTCATTGTTTGTGTCCTGACTTTGATGTCATTTACCTTCATATCTCATATTTCATCGTAGATCGGTGTAACGTAACAAACCACATCTATGCAAACCTTCTTCCATCACGACTGTTGATGTGTGCAGCAGCAGCAGCACACAGTTAAATCAGCTAAAAAAAGATTTTTGTGCTTCAGTCTGTTTTTTTCTGCACACTGTCAGACGTTTCGTGAGCAATTCCTCCTCACTAGACGTCGATTTGAGAGAGCGATGTGATAAAAGTGAATCTGACACTATTTCTAGGTTCAGCACTTGGCTCTGCAATACTGAGGATAAATTAAAACAATAAAGTTGATCCTCGTCTGTCATTTCTGCGTTAATGATGAAGCTGCTTCGTTGGGAATAACTCCACTGATGCAAGTACTTAAAGTGTTTCTCTCAATGCCGTTATGTCTTTTGTGTCTTTTAAGTTTACATCTCTCTCTGTGGCGAAAGTGAAATGAAATCATAGCTAAATAAATTCATTCCTTCAGATTGACAACTGATGTATTTATAGTGACGATAATGACAGTTGTGATGAGTAATAAACCGTAATATATTAAATCATCAGTGTGTGTGAGATTTTGTTTCATCCTTAATTTAGAAAATGATCTGTTATCGCAGTCCCTTCCTACAAAAAGAAAAATGTATTGGACTTCTTTATTTGCTTTATTTTATTTTTGACTTTGGGATTTTTGCTGACACAAAAGGTTTAGCTAAAGGCTAAAAGGTTCACAGTTATTTTGTGTTTATAAAATATATTCTCTTTTACAGTGAAACTCTCAAAACTGATAGTTAAAGTGAATTTAATTGTCTGCCGTCTTTACAACCTTTACC